TATGAGTGAAGTAGGAAGTGCATCTGGCCGGAATAACAAACCACACAAAGCTGATGCGCTTCACATTCACTGCAAATGAACTAAAATCTTTTACATTCTGAAACTAGTCACACTTTTAAAAACAATACAGCCATTTCATGTCCACTTATTTACTTTATTTATGTATTTATTTATTTGTCAAGTAGCCATTAAACTCCCATTATTGAGGCTAAAAAGCAGCTAAATCATAATTAACTACTAAACAGCACTTCACACTTCAACCACAAAGGGGAGGTGTTGCATCTCTGTGAGAAAATTCCCCATTCTCAATCTCTGCTGATTGCACAGACTACAAGATTTTGCATGAAGATATTAAATGGTAAAGCATGCATCTTGCTGTTGATTAGTTTCATTGTCCTGAAAAGCTTCTTCTGAAGTGATGTTCATAGTGAAAAATGCACAAATATCACTCTACCTTTGTTGCTCTTGATCCTGGTATGCTTTGCTGCACCCTATAAAATTGCATTTATTTATTAACTGAATAATCTATTAATTAATCCACTGCACAGTTGCTGTTTTCGGTTTGCTGCAATGATGTGGTTAATATTTTTATGTGGAGGAGAATATGTATGTTGAGGTGATGTTGAGGGATTATGGTTATATGCCAAAGTAAATTATTTTGAAGGATGCTCAGTCAGATAACAGAAAGATTCAGTGTAACAGACTCATGATCAAAGAGATGAAGAATCTGTAGTAGTATATCGTGAAACACTCTTCCTGTGCTGTATGAGACTGACCGGCTGTGTCGGGCATCTGGTTTATATGATTCTGACAGCATTCTCTGTGATGGGAGGGAATTTATCTTACTTTGACAGACAGGAAAGTTTTCACTATCATATCTGCTGAGACTGTGACTTAATTCCAATTACTGTCAAAATCGTAGCATAATTAACATCATATCATTGCTGCTGAAACTTTCAGTCGAAGTACTTGATTGACTGTGATGCAATGTCCTCTGAGGTCTGACATGGACATGCAGACATGCATAATATATACATTAGAAATAAAGTACTTTTTTGTTCATGCATCATCTAGGAACAGCACAGAGGCTTTGGACCAATCAAAGCTGGTGGATCACTCAATCAAGAAACCACATCTGTCAAATTGAGTTTAAACAGAATAAAGAAGGATTTTCTGTCTTAAATAAATACGTCACCCAAAAACGAATATTTGCTCTCTGGCCATCCAAGATTTTTTATTTTTTTATTCTTGATCTGAACAGATCTGGAGAAACTTAGCATTGCATCACTTGCTCACAAATTGATCATTTGCAGTGAATGGGTGCCGTCAGAATGAGAGTCCAAACAGCTGATAAAAGCATCACAATAATCCACAAGTAATCCACACCCCTCCAGTCCATCAATTAGCATTTTGTGAAAAAAATGGGTGTTTGTAACAAACAAATTCATCATTACAGTGTTTTAACCTTAAATCACTGCTTCTGGAAAAGTCTATAATATTAACGCTTCCTCCAGTGAAAAAGTCCATCCCCTGTTGTCCTCTTATCAAAATCCACCCACATATTTTTTTAGAACTGTTTTTGATTGTAAACTGTGTTTGATCTCTGCATATATCTCTCCTGATTCACCTTTTTCACTGGAGAAAGCAATATTATATACAGAGTACACATATTTTAGCCGGAAACAACAGTTTGAAGGTAAAATGCCTTAATGATGGATTTATCACAAACACAGCTTTTCACTTTAAAAGATGTTAATTGATGGACTGGAGTCATGTGTAATATATTGTTATGTTTTTATCAGATGTTTGGACTCTCATTCTGACGGCACCCATTCACTGCAGAGGATCAATGGGTTGTGATGTAATGCTAAATTTCTCCAAATCTGTTCAGATGAAGAAATAAACTCATCTACATCTTGGACAGTCTGAGGGTGAGTAAATTTTAAGCAGATTTTCATTTTTGGCCAATACGCAGAAATACTGTATTAGTTGTGAACAAGATTTTGAATAGAAACAGTGCATTTGTTCATGTTTCTGGACTGCTGTCGCACAGTTCATTGAATTAGTGGCATTAATGCTATCTTGCAAACTATAATACACAATATTTGCAGTACATGAACCCTATACTATTCATACAGTGAATATAGAAACCTGTAATGAAAAATATTTCAGTAATTGTTTTCCTTTTACTGTACATTGACAGATTTTGATTTTGGTTAACCCAGTAAATAGCCTAGTTTGGGTCTTAGAGTCAATGAACCATTTGTCGTTTTGATCACATTTTCACTTTATGTAAACAAGCAATTTACTGTGAATTACCACACCCCTCTTTGTTCCTCATGGACATACCTATACTTTTCAAACCAACGTGTGTTTTACCAGCTGGGTTGATGTGATGGTGGTTGCATGAAAGAGGAAGATAACTGGATTATACAGGAGGAAAAACAAAGGCTTCATCAGCACTGACCTTGCTTCTGAATATCTGACTGGCCAATGTTAAAGGTGTAGAACAGGAGATTGAATAGCAGATGCATTTGTGACAGGTTATTCATTCATGAATTGAATTTATGCAGACACTGTTTGATAAACAGTGATGAAAAGTAGCTGTGAAGAGGCAATTATGTGCTGTTCTGATTACCAAGCACTCTTGGCTGAAAGGCATTAGGAGGACAAAGACTGGGTTAGGTAAGCCTCTATTTGCTCTTCGTGATTGGCAACTCTCACAAAAACAGATCTATGTGGCTCAACGAATGTACTTGAACACTTACTCGAAAGCAAAGTATTTTGGCATTATTTCAGTGTGCACTTCTGTTTCACACTTTTATTACAGTAGAAATTAATTGTCAAATTAGCATATACATTGACACAACTCAGCACCCCCTCCATTTTTTATACATCAAAGCTAATTTTCTCTTTTTAAAAAGAAGAGGGCCCTATGTGGAATTGCCATGGATATCATTTCAATTTGATCAGTCATTTGGCAAACCCGCATTTCGTATTTCCCGAAATTCTGCATTTCAACTAGACTAACCACAGGAGAGACTTGTTGCTATGAGAAGCAGCTAATGAATTGTTAGGTTGAAGTGATAGTTCACCCAAAATCAAAATTCTGGCATCATCGACTCACTCTGAAGCCACATTATAATAACCTGAATTCAGTTTTATTTGCTGAGAGTCTTCTTCTCCCTAAAAATCTCATCTTTAGAACAACATGAAGGGGGGCAGATTTCAAATCTTATTTATTAGGGTGGCATGAAAACTGAGAGGTGGCAACAATGAATCAAGCATTCATGCACAGTTTATGGATTTAGGGCCTGACATACACATTAATGTCCATGAATATGCAAAACAGTTGCATTTCCTCAGATGGACAACAAAGCAATTATCTGTTAAAAATAAATAAATGACTAAATGTATTTTGTTATTTCGTGCCATAGGAATAGTAAAAGGGCGATAAAGGTAAAAAAAGAGCAGCATTAAAAAAATAATAACATTTATTTGGCTGAAGTCACATATAGTCCTGTCCAGTTGAGATATGATTTATACGAGGACCTCTGAGTTAGCCGAAATAGTCATTTGTTCAGTAGTGTTTTTTTAGTAGTTTATTTATGATGCTACAATACTATTAAACTACACTGGTGCTGTATGTTTTTGATACAATAAAAAGAACTAGTTCATAAGAGCCATTTGTTCGTGAATCGGACTACACTGGTGGTTCATGTGTGTGCAGCCTGCGAGGAGAACTTAATAGAAGGAGCTGCTGTTGTCTTGCCATTATTTCATGGTACACAGGCTTTCATCTCGTCATGAAGCACAGCTGCTGAAAAGAAATCTTGAAACCACTGTTTACATTTTATTCAATGGGATGCTAAAGCGACAGTTTGGCAAGGTTTTATCTTAGGATGGCAGTGGCTCCCTGCCACCACGATAGATAAGCCCATTAGGGTGAGTAAATCATGACAGAATTTTGATTTACCATAATACAGTCAGCTTTTTTGCTTTGTTAGAAATATTGTTCATTTAATTTATTCCACAAACTTTCAGATGTGTTGACCTTTTTTCAAAAAGGTGTAATAATAATAATAAAACAACACTGGATGGAACTCGCCATCAGTGTTCAGACCTCAACTTTAATAAAAAATGTTTTGTAAATGTAATTTTTCTTTGTTTTCTTTGCACATCACATTTCATCTCAAACGATTCTGCTATCTCCCTGGTGAACAAGTTCTCCAACTTTTAATAAAGCTCTGTTAGTAGCAACATTGTAATGGAAGTGGTGCAACAACTGTGAGGCATTCATTTATAATTACTGAAAAAAATGTATAAATGATCTTCAAAAAATATTGACATTGTTTATGATCATTTCTTGCATTAAGAACATCATATTTTTTTATTTTAATTATGATTTTTAAAAATATTTTATATCAATACAATCTACACCTAAAGGCAGTTTAAATGTCGCATGGTAAAGACACTGTGACCTTCATTTATTTCAAAATAAATGAATAAATAACCCCTGGAACATAAGACTAACTGAAGAAAATTAAAATCTCGCCCATAAATAAAACGCTCTTCATTCAACCATAACCAACAGCGATGATACAAAATAGATTTCCATTAATTTTCATATTAAAACTGTAACTGGAAGTGTGATGGGTGTCTAGAATAGTCTTTCATATAGCCTACACTCTTAAAAATAAAGGTGCTTCAAAAGGGTCTTCAAGCGATGCCATAGAAGAACCATTTTTGGTTCCACGAAGAACCATTCAGTCAAAGGTTCTTTAAAGAACCATCTCTTTCTTACCTTTTTATAATCTGAATAACTTTTTTTCGCCACAAAGAAGCTTTTGTGAAACAGAAAGGTTCTTCAGATGTTAAAGGTTCTTTATGGAACCATTTAGACAAAAAGGTTCTTCTATGGCATCGTGAAGCACCTTTATTTTTAAGAGTGTAGGTACTGGACGCAGCTGTCTTTATTCATTAATCTAGGCTATATCACTTTATTATCAATCTCAGTGTATTTCTCTATCTACGTTTTGAGCTTACAACTTTTCTACCTTTGACCTGAAACAATATTCGATTGTTTTGCATCCTCACAAGCATGCAATTAATTAGCATGCAGTACACCCTGGACTGGACTCTGTAACCTCCAGCAGACTGCGCCGGTCCCTCGCTCACTGAGGAGTGTGTGCTCTTTTCACGGGCCACGGCACGTCACGGAGGGGGCAGGAGCGGATTCCTGAGTGCTGCTCGAGCTTCCTGCGATCACATCCTCCTCAGATCCACATCTACAGCGGAGCGAGACGCCGCGCTTTCCTGCTCCAGCTCACTCAGTCGGCTCTTTTTACAGAAATGGTGAGAAACCTGAACACTCTTTGCAATCTTTTACAGCGTCTAAACAACTTGTGTCGAACTGCCTGGAACGCTTTCTCTGTGTGTAATGTCTCTCTCTTCTCTCTCTTCTCTCTCTTCTCTCTCTTCTCTCCCTTCTCTCCCTTCTCTCTCTTCTCTCTCTTCTCTCCCTTCTCTCCCTTCTCTCTCTTCTCTCTCTTCTCTCCCTTCTATCCCTTCTCTCTCTTCTCTCCCTTCTCTCTCTTCTCTCCGCCCGCTACGCCCGTTACAGATGTTTCGGTGTTTACCCGTGTTTTTCCTCCTGGCTGTAGTCTGCACTCATGCCGAGGTAAGTTATATCAAACCTGCATTCATTAAGGAGAAGAGCTCGTCTTTTTTGAAAAATGTTTATGGGGTTCCGAATTACATTCTTTCTGGAATCCAACTTGCACTTAATGAACTGTAAAAGAAACAAGTCCTGTTAACTTAGAACAAAACAAGGGGGTGATGATGATTATTTTAAAGCTGAACTCAGTATTTCCTTCGTTTTGATCATTGGAATAAGTTTTGCACATAATGAAAATCAGTTTTGATGACATTCAGTCTTCTGGTGGGGGGACCCGCTTTTCTGCGTGGAGCGGGTCGCGACTTCATGGGCGCCGTCATGTTGACATCACGTGATCAGTCGTGATGCATACTATTACTAAAATGTTTATTTTGTATATTTAATGTGAAGTGACATGAGTAAACAAGTGTAATGCATCCAGGCAGCTAAATGTCAGTATAATATCCAAAAACCCCTGGAGCTATAAATGAGACCCATAAGTAAACACATGAAGAGTTTTGCTTTGATTGTCTTGGGGGTCATTTCTATTGGTAAACAATACTCTGTAAGTAGGGGAGAGCGGGGCACAAAGTAACTCTTTTTGACTTTCTCAAATTATGTAAATCCATATGGGGTTCTGAGTATAATTTTTTTTTATCCACAGTAATTTCACACTTGTCTAGTACGAATATGTCGCTTAGTTTCATAATTACAGTGTATACGTTTTCTTTATTTACCCTCAAAAACATGCCCCGTAGGTGGGGAGAATTGTAACATCTGAGGGGCACGTTGTAACATGACCATATAACAGCTTAAAACGTTATCTGATCGAATGAAAAAAATATACAAGATAAATATTTTGTCAATAAAATAAAATAATTCGTTATTTGAAATAAAATAATGGTGTTTTTTAAGAATTAAGCATAATCCGATTTTGGAGTTTGACAATGAACACATTGCAACCATGCTTGGGACGGCCCACATAAACGAGCCAAAATGCTTTACATGTCTTGAAATAATAATTTCTTAACATTAAACATTGACTGTCAGTCTTTGTTCACCTGTTTCTCGTCGTTTATCATTAAGATGTATTAAAGTAAATAGTGTGAATGACATCGGTAATGTCATAGAATAGCACGGCAGGGCACATTGTAACGCAGTGTTACAACATACCCCATCTGCGCAATTGGAATTTAAAACTGGTTACTGTCTTCTGATAGTTAGCGAAGCGTTAAAAAATTATTTAAACTGATAAATAACAGATTGGAGATTAAAATAATAGCAGATTTGTCTCATTTTAAATGAGTAATAAAAACTGAGATGAAAAATGCCAGAAATATAATTTTACTTTGGTAAAATAAATGTTCAGCGATATCTTCAAAAGACTTTTGAATTTTGGCGCACTTTTTTTCTCTATATAATGTTGATATAGTAACTAGTAAATACTGTACATTTTGTTATGCTAGCATGTGTGGAAATATTTAAACCACGTGTGTTACAACTTACCACGCGTTACTTTGTGCCCCGCGCTCCCCTTCAACATTGTTTGAAAGTAATTGAAACCAGACTTTGTGAGATTTTCAAGAAATTCATGACACTTTTTTTGTAATAATAAAACTTTTTAAAAATAACTTTTTTTCCCATTTGCACCGAAAAACAAAAAGTTGGTGGTGAAACATTTTTCACTCAGAAATCGCTAGTAAAATTCACATATACAAGGAAACGGGACATTGAAAAAAAGCATGAAGTTTTGCAGTAGAAAAGTAGTATTTGAAATTTGAAACTTGTAAAATATACTAAACGTTTTACCCAATTCATAAAGAATGGTGGACCAGCTGAGTTGTCAAGATGCATCTGTCACAAAACGCACATTTACATCACCTGGTTTGTGTTTGTGTGGTTAATGAGCTCTGTGTGTGGTGAGAGGTTGGTGGTCTTTGCATTGGAAATTCAAAAGAGCTGTAAACACACAGCTGTTAAAACCAATCAGATAACAAACTGTTAGGAGGTGTTTGTCCAGTGAGTTTACACTGATTTCAGTACTCAGATGCAGCTGCTGATGGGGGCCATATGTTGTGTTTTTTTAGTGTTGAGTTCATTGTGATCTTTCGCTCTCTAGTGTAATAACAACCTGCCAGGTGAGCTGTGTTTAAGCCACACAAGAAGAGGAACTCAACACTTATAAATGAAAGCATTCTTTCACTGTATTGTGGAAATGACCTATGCATTTATTTCCCATGAAATCCAAGAGAATGCCTTCTACTTTTATGTATGTTAAGAAACAACATGCATTTTGGTGAAAGTTGTCTCTTGTGTCAGTAGACACATGCATCAAGAATGCACTTCCTGTGTAAAACATCTGCAGATTCCAAGACAAGCACAATTATACACAAAACAAAGTGGCTTTAGCTTTAAAAATGTATGACATGAGATCACATGTTCCCAAGCATAATTTTTTCATTTAAATGAAGAGTTGTTGTTGTTAGAGCATGCTATTGTATAACAGCATGCACACTATTGTTTGGTCTCTGCTCTAGAATTATCTGTAAGTGATTTCATGCTGACAGGCTTGATAAGAAAACACTTAAGCTAAAAGAACAGCAACTCATAATGGGTGTCATGCAACCCGCATGATTCTTCTCTCCGCTATTCATGCAGTTCATGCTGTGGTTTGTCTCTTTCTTGTATCTCACTCAGTGGGGGCTTTGGAGCTGTCAGAGCTTGTGTTCCCTGAAGGCATGATGTGCTGCTTACATAGACAAGCTCTTAAAAAGAGTGTCACCCCAAATTAAAACTCTGAATTTCCTACTCCCACAATACAATTTGTGCTGGGATGATTTTGTAGTTGGTTGGTAGAGTATGCACACTGTAAGTGTAAGTGGATTTGTGTGCATGTATACTGTATAGTTGAAGTCTAAGGCAAAGAAACAGTTTATTCTTCATTGTTCGTGATTATGTGTTTTCATATAGAGCACATATAAAGACGTATTTTCGCCATTCATTTTCTCCATATGGATTTAAAGAGAAGTTGTAAAGAGAACCAAACCAGCTCCAATACAAATCATAAACTTTAAGCAAAAATGTATATGAAAATTAAGGGCAAAAAAATACAAGATACAAAAAGATACAAAAGATACGAGACTGCATAGATCAGTTGTTTAATAATCATAAACTTATCCAGTAAAGTATACTGTGAATGATATAATTGAACAAAAAACAAGGTTGCTATATAAAACTTTTGATTTATAGCAACTGTAACAAATATCATTACTCAACAATCTTTTGCGGTAGGTCTTAACTGAAAGGTTTGCACATTATTGCCAAGCAATTCTCTACGGAGAAAGTCAATGGATTTTTAAGTTAAGAATGTTACTGTTTTGCACTTTATTGCAGGTTTTACGATTGGTAGTCAGCAAGAAACTTTAAACCATTAAAGGGTCTGTCATCATTTACTGTCATCATTTACTCACCTACATGTTGTTCCAAACCTGTATGACTTTCTTTCTTCCGTGGAATATAAAAGAAGATGTTTGAAAGAATGTTGGTAACCAAACATCCATTGTATGGACAAAATAAAACACTAAGACATCATTCTAAAAGATCTTTAATCTTCCTAAAAAAGAAAGTCATACAGGTTTGGAACAATGTGAAGGCAAGTACATGATGAGAGAAGTTACATTCTTGTGTGAACATTATGCACAAAAATCGGTATGCCTAAGGATTAAACTCTAAAGAAAAACCCTGGTACATGCAATAAAATAAAAAAAATAGCCAGTTCAATTTAAAGAGTAATTTTTTCTTTCCCTTTCAGACTTATCCTCTGTCTCTCTTTGTTGTTTACAGTATACATTAGTGTACAAAGAAAATAGAAGAAGACAGTCCAGAATGTGAAACATTATCACACACACTCACACTCACAAACAAACACATTATCACAAACTGTGGAGGAGAATGAAATTCAGCTTTTCTCATGGCAATGGGTTTTTTCTAACATGACTAAATGTAATAGCAGAGGCAGGATAATGCAGTTACCTAAATCCCATCCTACGATCAAAAAGATTGCTCGCAGAGTTTTGAGTTGCTTTCTACCTGCGTTTCACTGCTGCCTTACAGCAGGTGAATCAACTGTGCTTCAAGCCCTGATAAAAATAGAAGTTACCGAGGGAAAAAGAAAATGAGGGAGAAAGAGAGCGTGAGGTTGGGAAAAAGAGAGGTGTAGTGAAAGAGAACACTGTCAGGGTCACAATGCCCCGTCTCCTGGAGACAAGTGGGCTTTACTAAGAGAGTAACTAGGCTATAATGAGAGCCTGCTGTGATTTCAACTAATAATGGTGTATTTAAGTAAATTACAAATCAGGCCATAGTGAAATAGTTGTTTTGATTTTTCCCAATGTAATGCCTTTGTCTTTTTGTGACGTTATAATGAAAGAAATGTATATGTATTTGTTCCTAATGCACGTTAGTGGATGTGCCAGAAAAGCCAGCTGCCTCACAGCCCAGTCAGTCAATGACTTAATGTTTTTGTATGAAGGCCCCTCATATGGAAACTGGTTGCAGACAGGCTGCCAATGCAGCATAACGTCATGTCTAATGATCCAGAACACATTCACGTGAGCTGAGAAATTACCAAGGAGGTCAGAAAGTCTGTGAGCATTCCCTCTCATCTCAATGGAGCTTGGAGCCATCAATGTAAAATGTTACTAGACAAAATTGATTCGGCGGAATACACAGCTAACTTTGAATGGCCGTTAAGTCTGTTCAGTTTTGAAAAGTCGTGCAGTGTATTCCAGCCTTTAGTAAACAGGATGTTACTCACACATTGGATTTGGACTTGATGTCTTCATGGCCCCATATAATGATACACAGCATTTTTCCTGTCAGCACAATCAGTATTTATAAGCTTCACTAAAATGCTTTCAGTAATCTCTTGCAATGAGGCTCTGGCAGAAGGAATTCTTTCTCCCTCAGGGTGTGAGTCTAATGTCCACAGACAGCTGGTCAGTCTTTTATAAAGAGGATATAAA